GTGGGGGGGGGGCAGAGTACAAGAGGAGGAGGAGGAAAACCATGAAGACAATTCCATTCCTCATTCTATAGAGACCTCTACTCAGCCACACTCAGAGAAAGCTGGCTTATTAGGAGAAATAGCCCAAACTAAATCTGCCCCAGAGAGGGAACCATGTTGTCTCTATAAACAGTGTCTTCATCAGGGCTCTCCATGGGCAGGGACAGCTCCCAGCTGGAGCAACAGTCTCCATCTCTAGCTGGCAGTCCCTGACCTTGCTCTCTGAAAGAACAAGGTGCCCACAGCTACTCACTCAGTCAAGTGGCAAGATCTGCCTTCAGAGGATGTTCCTCTGAATCTCCTCAGTGTCGGTAATGATCTCCCAGGTCTCCTCCAAGGGTGAGTATGACTTTTGGAAATAATTAGATGTTATCTGGAATTACAACTAGTTAAAAAGAAAAAAAGAAAACAAAAACAGGTGGTGGTCATGCTTGGGACACCATTTGGTACCCAAAAACAAGGATATAAAAAAGTCTTGGGGTGCCTGGGTGGCTTAGTCTGACACTTGGTTTCAGCTTAGGTAATGACCTCACAGTTCATGAGTTTGAGCCCTGCATCAGGCTCTGCACTGGCAGCACAGAGCCTGTTTGGGATTCTCTCTCTCCTTCTCTCTCTGCCCCTGCTCCCCACCCCCTCTAAAAATAAATAAACTTTTTAAAAGTCTCAAAAACAATTTTCTGACTTGGCTGAAAAGTTGGCTCTGATGGAAAGTTCTGGAGGTTGTTTACCACACTGTTTTGAGAAGTGGGAATATAAATAGTGTTATGTGTATAGCCTCCTGAAGAGAGATACTAAAAGAATCACCTTATAGGTGTGTTCCCCACTTAAAAGCCTGGTGGGGCAGACACTGACTTGTCCTCAATTCCTCAGACTGAGGTATCTCCTGACAGGTTTCACTCAAGAACCGTCCCCTCCCCCAGAGAAGAGCCTGTGCCCCTGAGCTGAGCAGCTGTGAAAGGTGGTTCAGTTAACAGCATGCCCTCAGGCACATGAGTCACACAGATCCCAAGAGAGGAGACCGAAAAACCTGCACACGCTATGGGAAGACAGACTCTTGGTGTCATTAAATAAAATCTATTAACTTAAAAGCCTGTTTGCCAGGTTTCTGTACTATCTGGATTCCCAAAGTACAGTGGAACGATCTGAACAAAGACATCTCTTTCCTTGGCTTGGGCTACATGAATGCTGATTATTTTGCTGGAGGGGTGTGGGCTGAAGTTCAAAACAGTGAGCTAGAGTCTTAACTGCCTCTCAGCTGAAATGAACAAAAAAAGAAGTTAGGACTAGACAAAAATCAGTCTGGAGAAAGCCAGTAGGAAAGTGACTTCATTCTACTCCAAACTTCCTCAAGGATGTGTCAAGTGAGCCTGGACAGGAAATCACTTTCTAAGTCCCTCAATTTCCCCCTTTATAAAAGGAACTGCTTCTGCTACCTGCACATCCAGGAGTAAATGCATAGAACACTGACAGATGTAGTAAGAGGGAGGTTATGAATTCAGAATTTTTTTTTCTGTTGGGTCTGAATTTAGGTGAGTTTGGTTAGTGGGATCCTTGGCTGCCTCTTGGTTAACATTATGAATAGGAGCAAGCTGAAGTGGGATCACAGCAAGACCCTTTTCTACCCTATTGCTGTCATAATAAGTATGTCACCAAGCCAAGAATCACCAACCCTTAATGTGAGTACACAAAGTCAAGCAAGCAGAGGGACGGAGCTGTACTTGCCCACCACTACTGTGTGCCAGGCAGTTAGACTACATTATTGCACTTAACCCTGAAAAGCCAGTTTTACCATCTCCATTTTGCAGGTGAGGTAAACTGAGGCTAAGACAGATTAATAACTTGCCCAAGACAGAAGCTGGACTCCAAAACCTGGTCTTCACAAGAGACACCATCCCATGGCAAGTCCCAGGGTCTGAAAGAAACAGGCTTTTGCTCTTCTCAGCCCCAAGGACCAATCCCCAAACTAAGAGGATCCTGGAGTGGTGGAAAGCCCAGGAGCCCGGAATAATTGGGTCTCAACAAAGCTCTGCAGCTTAGTCACTCCTCCACAAGTCACATCATTTCTCTGAGCCTCAGTTTCCATTTTTACAAAATAGGGTGAAAACTACTCTCATCTCACAAGGTGGTTGTGTGGAGTGAAAGAACATCTTAAAAACTATGAACGCAGCACTAAATGAAAAGCACCGTCATGGCTTTACCAGTGGACACGCCAGAATTTAAATCTCAGGTACATTCTATTTTTATTTCCAAGGCACTTCTCTCCAGAAAATTCAAAGTGCCAAACAATTAACTTCTAAACAATCATTTCCTATAAACAACTCTATGAGCACCTTATCCACGTGGGGCTCCTTTAAAGTACAATAAACTTGTGGGGAACTGGGCTCCTATTCTTTCCCCAGGAGGTTAGAAAGCTATTGGGAATTGGGAATCCTTTATTGAGAAGA